CCGGGCCCACCGGGCCCATTTGCAGGCACGAAAATTTTCCCAGGGCTAGGGCTATCGGTCTTTAAGAGTGTCTCGTCGGTGATTGGTTTAAAGCTCCTAATAAATAAGAAATTATATATAATTATTTAAAACGCGTTATCTACCTTAAATATATACATATATTAATATATTTAATAAATATAATATATATATAACATAAATATAAATATAATATAATATAATATATATATATATTAATATATTTAATTTATATTTAATATATATTAATATATTTATTCATAATTCTTTTACGCGAATGATTCAGATGGTTGGAATTTTTTTTGTATATGTATGATATACACGATATACATATACATACATATTCTTCATCACTTTATGGATATAGCACGGACACGCACTATATTTTATCGACAATGTCTGATGTAGCCCTGACTCGAACCAAATCTATCCTCTCTGCCTATGATTTTATCGGCAGTGCATGAGGATTCAGCCTTATATTCAGTGGCTCCAACCAATCACATTCCACGTTCATTGAATGGCTGCAGTGCTGAGAGCATCCCTAGTAATTTCTTACTTTATGTTCAATTCAAATCTCTATCATGATCCTCGGTGGTACGTGAATTGAACGGAACGCAGGTACTCGCCACCAGCTGAGGACGGTTTGGAACAGCTGTAATTTTTCGAGTTAAGCCACATTTATATACGCGTTCACGGAAAGAAAAAGAACGGAGGAGATGAACAGTGCAATTATGTAAATCGTTTGCTCGCGCTTCTGAATTCTTCAATCATGCACCCATGTACCTCAACAATGCATCCTGCCATGGTGATGCGGTGACATTGACAGCGTCGTTGCGGCTTGGTGCAAATGTCGTTATAGTCATGGTAATGCGCATAAATATAAATAAAATCTGCGACGTCGGCAGATAGATAACGTAATTAACAGGACAGCCTCGCTGACATCGTTGGTCCAGCGATGCTCATAATCGGCATCCCTTAACGACTGCATTCCCTCGTGTCTAATTCGTACCATGATGGGAATATTGTACGAGAAAAGGCCGCTGAAGAGGCCGAGGCTAGGACCCCCGGACGTCTACCCCCAAGAACTGAAGCAGAAGGAGGACGAGCTCTCGCTTACAAATGTGAAGCACGGCTTCATGGCTACTACAACTCAGTTAACGGACGAGTCTGGAACGGGCAGAAACTATAATGTTACTGCTGCCAAGGTCGGCGCGTACTTCAACGCGATCCTCGCCAAGAAGGAGGAGCTCGCGACGATGCCCGATACCGGTAGGAAGAGGCAGCAGATCAATCCCAAGGACAATTTCTGGCCGGTAACAGCTAGGACGAAGAATGGTATTGAAGCGTGGTTCAAGGATCTCTCGGGCAGCAAGCCGTTAGTCGCTCTTGCGAAGAAGGCGCCGAACTTCAATAAAAAGGAAGAGATCTTCATGATGCTCTGCGAGTACCAAGTGCCGATGCTCAGGGCAGCTTGGTTCATCAAGCTCAGCTCTGCTTATACAGTCGCAGTCTCCGAAGCCAAAATAAAGAAGCGTCAGCTGCCTGATCCAACTACAGGTAAGCTAATTCTATATTTCATGTTACAAAACTGTCGTTGATAAAATTGAGAAAAGTATACAAAAAAATAAGTATCAAGATTCTTTTATTTGAGCTATTAACATAAGTTTAACATATTTTTATCATACTATTTTATTATATTGTTTTTTTATTATAATTAAAATCTGTACTTTTTATTTTTAAGAATATTAAAAATGTGGTTTTTATTTTGACAGAATGGACAGGCACTCTTATAAAATTTTTAAAAGATCAGTTATCTAAACTACAAGAATACTATCATATGGGTAATCATGCGGCAAATGCTATTAACAGTAATAGTACGACAAGTTCCTGCAACAGTAATGGGACTACTGGCACAAGCAACAGTAGCAACAGCAGCAGCAACAATAACAGTGTTACTGCCACTACTACTATTACTACTACTGCTACTACTACTACTACAACTACTACTACTACTACTACTACAACTACTACAACTACTAGTAATAATAATAACAATAATAGTAATAATAGTGCGAGCAATAACACGAGCAACGGCTCTGTCAATAATCAACCACCTACGCCTACTTCGAGTAGTCAATCTGCGACAGGCAGTACAATGAATGAGGAGCATAAATTGGCGCTTAAGCAATGGCATTACTGTGTGCAATTGGCTAAATATATGTTTGAAGAAGGCTTGCTGGACAGACAAGAGTTGCTACAATGGATTCTAGAATTGTTGGATAAGATTAGATCCTCTCCCTCGGAAGATGGCATATTGAAGCTTCTGTTGCCATTAGCTCTGCAATATTTAGAAGAATTCATACAATCTGAATTACTAGCCAGACGATTGGCATATTTATGCTGTCGCAAATTGGCACACATGTGTAATAACGTTGAGGGCAGCAACAATCCGCAGAGTCCGTCCATTACTAAGAACGAAGTTAATGGTAGCAAGGACACTACTGCTGCTGTCCAAGGGCAATTAAATCTCTTGACAGTTGCTTTTAATGATTATTTAACTTGTGCACATCACAGAGATGTAATTTACAGTTTAGCTACTATAATACAGGTATGAAATAGTCATATCATTCTTTGTGTATGCTGTTATTATATTGTCTGTGAGAATTTATTAACAGCATTAATTTATTGAATTTTTTAGGTTATAACATTAGAGTGTCCCACGGCATTGGTCTGGAACAGCGTTGGTGAGGGTAAAGCTCCATCAGTCTTGAATGGATCACCTTTGGATTACTTACCGTGTCCTCCTGGAGCCTTGCCGTGCCCACCCGCGAGTTCTGGCAATCCTACAATGAAACAGCTGAGAGTCGCGCAAGAAAATATAAGAGCTCGATCTCAGGCAGCGGAAGGTAGATGGTCGTGCGACAAGTGGCAGCAAAGCAGCGCTGGAACGACGACGACCAAAGTGCTAGCCGCATTGGACGCCCTTGACCGGCACAGTTTCGATAAGATGGACGCTTCCAATTCGCTCGACACCCTGTATGCAAAAATCTTTACACCACCACCGAAAGATAATTCCAGCGAACGTGACACCAAAACGGAATATAATCCACAACAGGATTCGGCGGTAGTTGAGATTCTGTGCGAATGGGCTGTGAGTGCCGAACGTTGGGGGGAACACAGGGCGATGGCGGTTGCTAAACTTCTCGAAAAGAGACAGAGTGAAGCCACTGGCGAGACGAACGATAACGATGATAAGGACAGTACGTGTAGTAACGGAAGTCCGCCTGTGCTTCCGATCTTTCAACCGCTGCTTATGAAATTCTTAGATGTGGACGCACCGGTACTCGATAACACTTCGACTCAATCTAAGGCTCAATTTACAAACTTAGTTCATCTGTTCTCAGAATTGATAAGGCATGATGTTTTCTCACATGATGCATATATGTGCACTCTCATCTCAAGGGGTGATCTTATACAAGGTAGATATTCACTTATTTAAAAATTATTTAATTATTTTAATCACTTGTAAAATAAATAATTGTAACTGAATCGTATGGATTTATTTTTCAAAATTAAAGGATGTATCGCATATTCTAAATATATTTAATATAATAATTTAATTGACGCTACAATATATTAATATGTTGAAAGTAAATCACAGAGACGAAACGATTAACAATAAATGATTTGTTTTCTATATTGATTAAAATATTATAAAAATTGTAATCAGTTTCTCTAACTAATTATGAAATTATTTTATTTTAATTAGGTCCGGTAGCTAGCAAACCCGGAACACCAAGTAACAGAGAACCAATCGATGAAGATAGTCTCTTCCCGGGTATAGATTTGAAGCCGACTAAATTGGAAGTGTCAGATCATGGGCGTACCATGGATTATGATGATAGTAAAATTGATGACGATTTGGATAAGTTATTGCAGCACATTAAAGAAGATCAACAAAATAGCATGGATGCACCGGATAGTCCCAAAGAGGATGCATTGACTGGTCATGGAGGTCATGAAAGTCTCGATTCAAAAATGCCATCGAGTCATAGCAGACATTTATTGTACACTACTCATTTTCCGCTACCACAAGTAATTTTTTAATTATATCTTTCTATAAAATGATTTAAACGAATTCTAAGTGGTATTCATATACCTATATCTTTAACACTATAACACTTTTGACATAAATTATTTTATAAATTTGTTGAAATCATTAAATGTAAATTATTTACATTTTTCAATATTAATATTGTTAAATTTTTCTGCACATAAACATTATTTGATCTACTGATATATGTTTACAGGACGAGACATGCAGTCAGCATGATTGTAATCAGCGACACGTATTACTTTATGGCGTTGGACGTATCAGAGATGAGGCCAGACATGTTGTTAAAAAAATGACGAAAGAAGTGTGTAAATTATTTGGGAAGAAATTCAGTATTGATGTTGCCGAAGGGGGCAAAGTGAAGAAACATTCTCGAAGTGAATTTAATTTTGAAGCTGTCACTATGAAATTCCAAAATCTAAGTTATTTCGATCAACACGTTGTAACATGGCAATGTGCAACGCAAGTTATAGAAATGTTGAATACATTTGCACTAGCTGGTTCGTCTTATTTACCAGTTCACGAGCATGTAGCCTTCCTCTTCGATCTGATGGAACTAGCATTAAACATATATGGCCTAATTGACGTTTGCATACAAATCCTGAAAGAGCTACCAGAGGTGGAGGCACAATTGACAGCTAGAAACAGTCAGTTAGTTCGAAGTTATACCACAAATCTGAGTTTATATGTAGTCGGCGTATTAAGAAGATATCACTGTTGTTTATTATGTAAGTATAAATTGTAATTTCATACATGTGTATGCATACATATATTTAAAGAGTTTACACATACATTACACATAAAAATGATTGTGTTACAGTGTCTCCCGAGCAGACGACAGCGGTATTTGATTTACTCTGCAAAGTAGTGAAACATGTGTCAAATCCGAGCGACTGTAGCTCCGCCGAACGATGCGTACTAGCGCATTTATACGACTTATATTCAACGTGTTCTCTTTTGAAGACGAAATCACACGGGGTGGAGGCGTTTAGTAATGCATATCCGAAAATTCGAGCTGCTCTCTACAGCACATTGCAGCCAACGCCGTCGAGTCACGTTTACAATTCGCAATTTATGGTGGATGTGTTTACCAGTCCACGGAGAGGCGGAAAAATTGAACCGCAATGGGCGAGGCAGTTAAATGAGACGCCGGCCAATCGATATAGTTTTGTTTGCAACGCGATTGTGGCGGTTTGCAGCGAAACGGATAACGATAAACTGAACGATATTGCTATAACTTGCGCGGAATTAACTGCTTGTTGCAATGCTCTCAATGCCGAGTGGTTGGGAGTACTTATGGCGCTTTGTTGTTCCTCCAATAGTTCCGCTTTCTACATCGACGTGTTAAATCAAGTTGATGTACAAGACTTAAGTATACACAATTCTCTTGCTATATTCACATCGATTTTGATTGGTAAGTAGGATACCTTTTGCATTTATTAGATGTCATATTTGTTAATTTATTAACAGCTTATTTTGTTTACAGCAAGGCATTGTTTCTCTTTGGAAGATTTTGTTGTGCATATAGCACTACCATCGTTGGTGAAAACTTGTAACGATGGTCGCGGGGACATTGATATCGAAGTTGAAGCAGGTGCACGTTTAACTTGTCACTTATTACTGCGACTCTTCAAAACCGTCGAATGCCCGCAGCCGGCTTTGTATTCGGTCAGTACGAGTCCTCATCCGCTTCCCAGTGGAAATTCAAGGGGTTACAGCATAAAATTGAGTTGCGATAGGCACTTATTGGCAGCTGCACACAATAATATAAGAGTAGGACCAGTACTCGCGGTGCTGAAGGCTATATTAGTTGTGGGGGATGCTACCGCCACTAAACAACCCCCGAAGAAAGTCGATATACCCCTGAGCCATTCCAGTAAAGGCGGTGGCCCGGCCAGTGTTGGAGTCGGAGTTGGAGTGAGCAGTAGCGGGCCTGGTGAACTGTCAATCAGCCATATTTTGGGAACTAGCGATATTTTAGGAGGCGGCGATGATCTTGGCCTCGACCTGGCCATGTCTTCATCCAGTAGTAGCGCCGGCATGACGACGGAAAATGTCAAGGGATTTTCTGATTTTGCTCATCACGTTTTACGTCAGATCTGCAGCCAGGAATGGGTATTGGAGAGATGCTTACAAAATCCGGAAGAGCTTTGTCATCAGGACATGCTGTTGGATAATATGCTGACGCCACGACAAGCCCAAAAATTATTACACATGATCTGCTATCCTGAAACACCAACCGAAGCTTTTATCGATCAGAAGACGCATATTACGAATATTTTGGAAAATCTGGAACAATGGAGTCTAAGAATGTCCTGGTTAGATTTACAGCTTATGTACAAGCAATTCTCGCCAGGCTCCAGTGAACTTTCTCAATGGTTGGACACAGTTGCAAAAGCTGCAATAGACGTTTTTCAGTTGAACAATACGTTGAGTAATAAACCTGACAAAAGGTCAGGCTCTATATGGCTAGTCGCTCCGTTAGTTTCCAAATTGCCGAGTGCGGTGCAAGGCAGAGTTTTAAAAGTGGCGGGGCAGGTATTAGAATCGGGCAATTGGTCGAAAACAGCAGGCCGCGAGAGAGGTAGATCCAAATCGCCTTCACTGTTCAATCACCAACCATTTCTGTCGCTTGTGTTGACATGCTTGAAAGGTCAGGATGATCAAAGAGAGGGTTTACTCACATCCCTACATTCGCAACTTTCACAATTTTTAAATACCAGTAAAGAGGAGAAGCACATCGGCTCCGAAGATCCTAAAACTAGGGAAGTATTACAGGACGCGTTGCAGTTAAGATTCAGTCTTGTCGGTGGTGTGTTCGACACGATACAAAGGAATACGACTGCCACGACGGATTGGGCGATTCTGCTAGTTCAATTGGTCAGCTACGGTGTTATAGACTTGAATAATAATGCAGAATTATTTACAACCGTTATAGATATGCTAGCAACGCTAATCCACTCCACATTAGTATCAGATTCGCAGTCCGAGAAAGACGAAAACAAGAAACACTACCAAAATCTAATGAAAAAATTGAAAAAAGAGCTAGGCGATAGAAATTCTTCGAGCATTCGCTTTGTAAGGCAACTTCTGCCGTTACCGAAGTTGACTATGGAAGTTATTACATGCGAACCCGTTGGATGTTTGACTGACACCAAAGGCAACAAAATTGCTGGATTCGACAGCATCGACAAGAAACAGGTACATTTAGATTCTTGGTTTTTTTTTAGAAGTATTTTTTTTCTACTTATAGGAATTTCTTTTTATTATTGCAAAAGGACAATGTTAAAAAAAATATTATTTATATAAAAACGAAGCACAAAGAACAATTATTAATAATACTTTATGAGAATTTACATAAAAATTACACAAATTTACACAAAAAAAGAGAGTGTAATTTACTTTTTCTTTTTTACATCTTTTTATATTAGCATATTGAATCAATAAGATCATTAAAACATGTTTCTTGATATCTGACATAAATATGCAACATGCAAAGTGTATAATGTGTACTTAAAATTAGGGACTGCAAGTGTGCGACTCTCAAAGGGTGTCGGCATGGGAACTCTTGGAAGGTCATAAAAATCCTGCTCCGCTTTCCTGGGCTTGGTTCAGAGCTGTCCGATTGGAACGCAAACCGCTGACATATCAAAATGCGCACAAACTGTTGCGTTATCACACGCACAGTCAAAATCGTCCAGCCAGCCATTATTTGGATCCACCTCCATTACCGCCGGAAGATCTGGAGCCGGACAAGAAAGAATCGGAACCAGGCAAAGCGGACACTCCAATGAGCATCGATTCACCAGGTCGAGTCGGCGGCAGTATCGGTAACACCGGTGTTGGTAATGCAAATACTAATGGCAAAGGAAAAGCTATGAAAAATAAAAGGCATAACAGACGAGCGAAAGGCGCCGCTACGCCTACAACACCTATCTCGCAGCAAATGCAGGTGAGTTTAATCTACTGCGTAATAATCTACTATGAAAAAACAAAGAGTTATCATTATTATGTTTTTCTTTTTATTTTTTAATTATAGCAACCACCATCTCAATTGCAACAAATGGCATTCAATAATCAACAAGCTCCTGTTGCGCAACAGCCTGGAATGTTTACTGGGCAACCCCCACAACCTCAGCAGCAATGGTACAGTAATCAGCAAACTCACACACCGCAGCAGCAGTACGGATACAGTCAACAATTGCCGCCTGCACCGGTCGGTGGACCGCGCTACGAGAGACCGGGGATGAATAATCAGTCCAAACAGGCTCTGTCGAATATGTTACGTTTACGATTACCGTCCAATCAATTCATGGGCTCGCAACAACAGCCACCAAACGCCACGCCGGTTGCCGGACCAGGCGCGTTCCAAGGAATGCAGAGGCAGTTCATCAGGCAACAATTGAGAGCGCAGCATGGAGCACCCGGTATAAATCCACAACAAGGCATGTTTGCGGCACAGCAACAGCAGCAGCAGCAACAACAGCAACAGCAAGGGATATATGCTGGACTTCAACAAGGTACAAATTTAAAATAAGATATCTCATGATATTATCAAGAATTGTATTTAGTAGAAAGAAATAGTGTCGTGATTGTTATTTATTTTTTTTTTCAAATTTCTTTTAGTAATCTTTTATTTTTAATAGTCTTACTAAATTATTAGATTAATTTTTTAACGTTTTTTAAAATTACTTTATAATAAACATGATTAATAAACATGTTGCGAAATATTAAGTAAGCATGATTTGATATAAAAACAATACAATAATGATCATGTGTTAAATACTAATGTTTTTTATCGAATGCAATCAATGTCCGGCAAAACAGCAGTTTTGTTTGGGTGTTTGAATTTATTTTTCACTGCAGGTATGAATCAAAATTATGCGGGATATGGAGGACAACAAATGATACAGCAGCAACAGCAGCAGCAGCAACAGAGACGCCGCAGCAAACACAGCAGCAGCAGCAGCAGCAGCAGCAGCAGCAGCAGCAGCAGCAGCAGTTGCTTCAACAACAGCAGCAGCAGCAACAAGGCATCTTGAACCAACAACAAAATATGATGTTCCCTAATCAACAGCAAATGATGGGTCCGCAAAGGGGACAGGAGTATATGCCGCAACAAAGAATGCAGCCTGGCGCTGCGAGGCCGCCATATTTACAGGTGTGTTGAAGTATATGTTCTTAATATCTAATGTTATATATATAATGAAATTATAATGAAATAAAATAATTAATTCAAATTGTGGTTCAACTCTATGCATTTGCAATCTTCAACAAATGTACAATACATTATACAAGTAGACCATATTTGAGCTGATATGTTTATTTAACTGGCTAATGATACTTTTTATATAAGTTTAATACTATAGCAACATTATTTTTAGCATATATAAGCATAATAATTGCAAGATTAATTTTGTAAGATTTAATGAATGTACTAAAAATCTGTTTTGTTCATTTAGGCGCCAAATGTAACAATGAACGCAATGGGACCACTGGGAGGAGGTGTTCAGAATCAACCTGCTCCTCCGTACCGACAATCCGCTGGAAAACCAGGTGCAGTAGGCGTGGCAGGAGTAGGTACAGCCAATGTCAGCTTGCAGCAAAATCAGTTCCAACAGGTATATTCTTATTATATATATATATGTTTATATTATAGATATTGTAATATCTATAATAAATTGTATATATATTGCAGAAGCGCGATATCTGTAAAGAATTTGTGGAGTATCGTTATTAATTATCTTTATTTTTATTAGCAACAAGCGATAAATCAGCGTATGAGGCAACAGATGATAGCTATGCAACAGCAGCAACAACAAGCACAGCAGCAGCAGCAGCAGGCTGCTCAACAGCAGCAACAGCAGCAACAAGGTGCTGCTGGTGGCCAGCAACCAACGCCTCAACTTGTGACGCACTTACAGAGGCACTTGAGTCAACCACCACAACATTCCTACCAGCATCAACCACCACCTTATTAAAACAGAAAAATTGGATTTATTTAATATTCGCTCAGACACATTATTGCAACATAGAAATGAAAACATATTTATTGAATTCCAAACTTTATGCTGTTGAATAAGTAAAGTCAGAAACACAGACTTTTACACAATGTTGCATAAGTCATAAAGCATAAGAGAATCAATCAATCTGAGACCCATTTTGATTAATTTAATTGACGATTAGTTCATTGGAATTGATTAATAGCATTTCGCTTAACGACAGATGCGATTTGATTGGATCTGTTGTTAAGCAAAATTCATTAATCAAAACTAATCGGAATTGATCCAAGTGATTTTCAAAGTATAAAATGAAGGATTCTCTGTTTGGTTGATTCTCTTATGTCTTATGTTATGCAACATTATGCAAAAGTCTGTGCAACCCTAAATAAGATTTACAACAGAACAAAAGTTCTCAAGAAAGATTTTTTATTCTATAATTTTTTATCAGTCAATATTTTATATATTTGACTAGGTACTACTATATTTCTGGATACAATGAACATAAGAAAATTGTGATCTAATTTTCACATTAAATTGAGTGTCATGATTTTTACTAATTAGATGTTTTAGTAATTGTAATTGCGACATATCGACAACACTTTAGTTCATCAGGCACAAAAAAAGAGAATGCTTTACAATATAGATTTTTTATGTCAAGAATCAAGTTTTAATGATCTTATTGATTCAATATGCGAATATAAAAAGATGTAAAAAAGAAAAAGTAAATTATAACACTTTTTTTTAAATGTAAATTCTCATAAAGTATTATTAATAATTGTTCTTTGTGCTTTGTTTTTGTATAAATAATATTTGTAATATATTTGATAACATAAAACAATCGAAGTAAAAGGAAGATTATTTCTAAGTTTATTCTTTCAGATAAAGAAGGAGATATTTTCTAGTGTTGAAGTGTTGTCTTATAAAGATATGTTCATTGCCACAAATTATTCACGCAGCGAATTACAAATATTGTAGCGATACTAACAAAACGAAGCACAGGAATGTAATCTATTACTTTTTATTAAGTAGTCTCTAAAGTATTAACGATAATGACGGATATATAATATATAGTATATGTATAAGTTCAGGCATACTATAATTTATATTATAAAGTAAATTTATTGTGTTATTGTTATCTGACTATTTAAACGGTATTTATATATACATATATATATATATACACACATCATATTTTTTACATAGAATTATATATTAACATTGATCATGTACATTAGAAGTAAAAATAAATGTATTTAATAAATGCATTCAATAATAATTATAAAATATGACTTATAGAAATCATATAGATTTGAACAAACTGCGTGGAGGAAGGGGATAAAATAAAAATAAATGATCAAGTTTCGAATTTAATTTCTAGCATGTGTTTTGATGTTTTTTTTTTTATTATTTTCAATCATCGAAAACACATGAATGATTATCACATTTATTTTATACACGACTTCTAACATACATATTAAAATATTTTTATTTTATTTATATATAATAAATTTATAAAAATTATTTGTAAATAATACTTTACGTTATAAACAATAATACTGTTGCAATTCTCTCATATGATTAACATTAGTCTAAAAATTATTAAGCAGGATGTCGACCTTTGTTGAGAAAAATACAGGCACAGGAATTGTGATTAATGACTGTCGTCTGGTTCTTCGTTGTTTCGAACCTCATCTTCATTTTGTCTTTTTTTTTCTCTCTCTCGATCCATGCGTTCTTTAGCATGTGCCAACCAAATTTTTATAGGATTACTAATCTGTTCATCCTTTACAAATTCGTGTGCATTTCTTATCACACCTGCAAAAACAACAAAATTTTTAAATGTCTTCCTTACTTCTTAGTTAAAATATCTTTATTTTTGAACAAGTAATATTACATGATTTAAATTAATAAGTATATAACACTTTTATGATTAAATATGATTAATAAATAAATGGCACAAACATATTTTTCAAATTTGGAAAGAAATTTAGCATTTAATAATATTAATAAAAAACAAGAAAAATTTATTTAATATTTAACTTACTTAAAATAACTTTGCACAAGCTCAATTTAGAAAAATGTTCTTTTCCTTTGGCACCATGCCAACTAAACAGCACTGCAACTTCATTAGATAGAATTTGTTTCATTAAACATAAACAGGACTGCTTCACGTCATGTCTTGTTAATCTTTGCAATTGCTTAATCTGAAATAATTAAAAAATATTAATATTTATGTTCTAAATATGAGCAATCAAAAGCTGTTAAATTAAAGACGTCACTGAGACGTCCCTAATTAATGTGTCAATTTAAGATCTGCAATTCTTGAACTGCACTACTTGTCCTTTTAAAAAAAAATTTTTTAAATATAGAAGTAGTTGTACTTACCATTTCATTCCGATAATGTTCATTATCAAGCTTATTTTCCATAATTTGTAAATCATCTCTGTTTCTCAAAGGTAAATCTTGGAAAACATCTATCTTCTGCTCTTCTTCTATCTGTACTGATGTCGCATGAGATATCTTATTCAAAATCTGTTTTTGCTGTTTTGCGATATAATTTATTTTAATTTCCAGATGTTGGAATTTTTTAAGAACATAGCGTTCGAAATCAGATCCTACAACAAATTCAATAAATACACATATTTCTAAAGTTGTATGATAAAAACATAAATAAAATTAGCAATGTTGTTTTATATTGTTATATTAAAACATAATTTTAATCACTTTTCTCGATTTTATAATTCTAAACTTTCCGTTCTAAAAAGCATTGTTTATAATTATTTGCATACTAACTTCCTTCATAATTTATAGTCCGACCTATTAATCTTACTTGGGAAGGAGGAATATTTTCATCATTAGCAATAAAACGTTCATCAATGTTCAGTGGATCGGCTTGGTTTTCAGTGGAGTTTACATCTAAAAATAATAAGAAAAACAATGCCATCAATAATATTTCAAAACAATTTTCACAAATTAATGTGTTTATAATGCATTGTAAATCGAAAAGTTATAAAAAATATATTACCACTTATTCTTTAAATAAAATTTCAATTTTATGCATCCTGCATATTCAATATTGATTTAATTTACTACATTGAAAGTGTTGTAATACAGAATATGTTACATAATAAATTATATTTTTTAATATAATTAAGTAAAATAAAATGTAATAATACAAATCATAAAATAAAGCAATACAAAACTTATATATTATTTTATAATTGGATCGATCTTGTGTAATTGTCATGTATTTATAATAGAAAATAAGTTTTTACTCACCTAAATCACCCTCTTCTATTGCACCACAGAAATTGTAAGATCCAGTAACGTCATCTCGTGATGTCTTTGTATCGATTATTTCAGCATTCTCCAGGACTGTAATTATAAAGCTTTTTGTGATATTTCGTTTCGTGATGAATCGTTTTAAACCCTTATTTACTCTGTTAATCAGAGTTGAGCATTATTCAAAAAACTGGTTAGTAAGATTATTATTAATTGATTTACATTTACAATTATGTAATAAAAATAAAATATATACTACGATAAAATACGAATCAATATATATCTTACGATTACGTCTACATGCATACATACGTACATTCATGCACACTTTATTTTTATACTAACCTCGGTTATCTAAATCCAAACTAATTGAATGACTGGTAAAACTTTGTGAGACTATATTTTTAGTATTCAGACATTTAGTCTTCATAGTGGTACCTTGTGGTGATTGTGAATCTGAATGTAATAAACATATATTACTATTTACATAAAATTTTAATTTAATGTATCTTACATATCCAATATTAATTTAATTTGTCATATAAAACGTGTGAGAGTAGAGAGAGAGAGAGAGAGAGAGAGAGAGAGAGAATATATGTCACATAATAAATTTAATTAAAATCCTAAACCTGGTATAACTGTACGGATGTCTTGACGTCTGGGTGTTTTTAAAAACGTTCGTGCATCCAAAGAGAATGTAGAAAAGCAACGATGATGCTTCCGTAACAGTAACAGCAACGCTTTTAAAGGAGTATGTGTTATTTGATGCTCTACAGCCCAAAATGTAATTTCATCTTGAAAATCGTTTACATGTTCAGATGCCACATTTAATTCATCGTTCAATTCATTACGAGAAACGTTAAAAGATGATTGTAATGATTCCGACTCGTTGTCACATTGACTATTTTCATATTGTACAAAGTCGACATCGTCAAAGTCCATTTTCTCAATATCTATTGTAGAATCAATTCTGTCATTATTTCTATCATTAATCACATTTGCTGTGCATGTACTGTCATTACGCGACAACGAAGTATTCTGAAATATTTTTGCAGATATAATATCCGCCTCTTGTGCTGCTAATCTTCTAAGATGTCGCTTGGATACATATAAGATATCTTTTCTTTGACGTTTTCGGTCCATATCAAATGTTATATCTCTACGAAAAGATTTATGACAGATTAAATAATATTATATTATGTACTAGGATTGCCACAGAAAATAAAATCTTTTCCAGATGACAGCAGACAACTTTTTATGATCAATATGTAATCTTAAACCTCAACGTTTAGGAGCAGAAATCGCAGGAAAAGTAGCACATATTATTAAAAGCAACACAATGCAGAAAAAATTTTTTCAATATTATATAATACATATGTACGCAGAAGATGAAAGCAAGTTTAAAATAATGGAAATAATCGTCGATCGGAATTTTAAGAGTAAAGTTAAAATTTCAGGTCCTTTTTTTATCTTTCCATAATTTTTCCAGGTTTTCCTTGAGCAATTTAAATTTTCACTTTTCCCGATTCTCCTGCTTTTATAGATCTGTGGCAACCCTGATTATACTTGTAATATTATTTGCAAATTAAATCGATAACAGTGTATAACTGAATATGAAACATAAAATATAATATGAAGCATTCATTTTTTTTAAATCTCAACTAAATTTTAAGCATAAAAGATCGAGATAAATCAATTTGTTTAACAAAAATTATAGTTGGATGTACAAATTATTCTTTCATAAATCAAACTTAAAATAAAAATATGTATCAAAGATTAATAGTGTAATATAATATAATGTAATTGTATGCACTTTAAACGTATAGTAAAAAGTAAAAAAAAAGTTAAATAGCGTGCGAATTTTTTATAAGAGTTTATTATAAATCATGAGATTAAACTGAATACTTTAAGAGTATATAAGTGAAAAAATTTTTTAAATTATTTTTTATATTTCTAATACAAATTTTATTTCTTATTATTACACAAAATTATTACATTAAATACTTTTAATAGATCATTTTCATACGCAATACATAAATCCTTTACTTACGCCTAAAATAATAATTAAAAAACTCAAAAATTATAAAACAGGACATTTTTTTAAATAAAAGAGATGAATGTTAAAAAAACAAGTGTTTTAAGAAATTCAATTTACAATGCAAAATTACATATTTCATATTATAATCTATATTGTCATACAATTATATGTAATAAATAATAAATATGTACTGATATTTTATATATATATTGGTCCACTGTGTGAAATAATAGTTGAAAATCAATCAATTTGTAGGAACGATTATTTTGAAATAATACAAATCGATTAAAAAGGGCTACTATGAATTATCAGAACTAGTTGCACAAAATTATGATATCATTTTATTCATTCCGTTGAATTTTTACACAACAAATCCTGCGTGACTCACAGTAGCCCTTTTAATCGATTTGTATTATTTTAAAATTAAGAGATATTTTAAATTGTAATTTTGTTCGATTATTTTAATGTCACTCCTCAATAGTAATTATTCTGCATACAATAGATTATAATTTAAAGTGTGCTATAGCTAAAAATTCTATTACATGAAAATATTAAAAATTGTTTACTAAAAACATCAACATACATATGATAATATTTTCCAACAATAAGAAATCAATTTATACCTGATAATTATAATACATTATACTGAAATTTTATAACAGAATATATTTCTGTGTAAAGTCATATAGAATGGAATGCTGAATAATTTTCATACATACCTTGTAAACACAACTGTTGCAACAAATCACTAATTATTATTATTAGTGTATAAGCACGTGCGTGATCCGGAATATAACGTAGAAAATGATCAGTCTGTAGCCCCAAGTAAACCACTAGTCCATATATTCTAGTTTATTTGATAAACTGGCAAAGCTAATAATCCTGTGAATTAAAATAAATTTTATATGTAATTATAGTCTTGAAACATTAAGTACATTTCTTTTTCTGTGTGTAATTTTACTTGTAATTAATTGTAAGAATCACTATTATAATAAGTTATTTTGTAATTTATTACAAAATGTCCTATTATAATGGTAATTCTTGTTATATTTTTTATACATATCTTTTGAATACAACTGTTCAACTGAACAAATCACTTCTATAGGGGTATGTACACAAGTGTACACACGCCTATAGAATTGTACTGTATAATAGCCTCCCTTAAAATTGTGTTCTTTTTCAATTTATTTCTTACATTGTGCAAAAACTAGCAAACCATTGCATAGTAAATGGAGAAAACGAGAAATAGAATGTTTTAAAAATAAATTTTTCAATCTAATATTTTGTATAAACAAACAGATTTTTATAAATGTACCCCAGATAGCATGCACACAGCCCAAAAGAATTTATTAGTATATTCAGTTTTATGTCATCAATTCTGAATTCATTTTCAAGTGTAAAAAGAATCCCTTTTAGAAAAATAATTCTTTTTGCGTCAGAAAATGAATTCAGAATTGGTGACATGTAACTGAGTTCTTTTTTCACTCTCTGTGTTATCTGGGATGTTAATAGCTCTATACATTGTAAATCTGTTCTTCTGTAAGAAGAAATAAAATAATTTTATATATATATATATATATATATATATATATATATAATTATTTTGCATACAGTTCGAGGTTAGATTATCCTTAGATTTAGGTAGCAAAATCTATATAGTATAAATGTAAAGCATTAAATAATAAAAATATACAAAAGCAACTCTATATATATATATATATATATATATACATACATGTGTTTTATATATATATATATATATATATATATATATAATATACATATATATTATATAAAATTATCTGATTTTCTTTAATGTAGATGAAAAATATTATAAAAATTAAACATAGAAATATTTTCTACATTTTTGTGTATCATTTTATATAAGTTAGTTTAAGTAAGGAAGAGGATTACCTTGGATGAAACTTTCTTTTACAATCTACACGTTACGTCGTATGGCCATAACCAACAAGAAATGCGTGCGCATCACTTTCGTATGTTGAGTTGATTCTGAGATTGTACGCGCGTGAAGGAAAACGGAATGATACTGTACCGACTGTACAATATCGATATTACTGTATTGACCTCAGTACGTTACAGATATAATTATATATTTAAAAACGTTTATGTAAAAAAAAACTACCATTTAAGTAAGAAAAACATTCTTAATCTTAATCTTGTAGTTAAATTAATGTTCAAAATACATCAAGAATCATCAGCATTCTAAAGATGTCGTGGTATCTTTATAGCCTGTTCCTAGATATACATTTTGAACATTTCTACTGTGGGTATATAGAGACTGCTTTATGATTTAATTCTTTTATATTGTATATATTATACAATTTACAATAGTCTACATAATTTACAAGTCTAGATTGCTACGTAGCAAAAAGACCATGTAAACATCATGTAGATTTTCACGTAAATAGATCCGTGTAGACGTAATCTTGAAATATACCGCACAACCCTGCCAATTATAATAGTGAATATGATCTAATTATTGGACAAAACGATACAAATTTTAAATATTTAACTTTTGATGTTGATATTATAAGCTTTTGAACAGGAGGTCGACGGGATAAAAAAACCGGGATATTCCTTATAAAAATTTAATACTGAAGAATCAAATAATTACTTACTTTAAGTATTGAAAGTACTAACAAAAGCAGTGCTTTTAATACTCAAATAAATATAATTATTTGGCTTTTTATTAAATTTGTGTAAAAGATACATGGCCACTTTCAATGAAAATCATCTACGGAGATACCATTACTCGATAATCGCTTTATCCCTATAGATAATAGTTTTATTTACCCATATATAGATTTATGGTTTTTTAATAGTTCTTTATCTGCAATGATGATAATATCGTGAAAGTTATGTTTCGAATTATCGAGCGAATAACAGTTTTGGTTGTTATTTTCATATCTTTACAAAAGGTGGCGATAGCGTTAGCTTTTCTACTACGCACACAATGTATAACAATCGTACATACATATACATATAATATATAATAATCGATTGAATTTATACTTTACACTTTAGAGATAATCCTATTTAACTATTATAAATGAGATGAGTTATTGTATAATATTATCACTTATTTGTGTAAAGACATCATATTGATGATGTATGCATGCGCATAATTTCTATAATATTTATTAGAATAAAATTATTGCACAATTAGGACGTGTATTCAGAATATTTAAAAAGTGGATAATATATAGCAGAATCATCATTACTTATTTGATATGATATATACCTTATTTACGATGAGGAAACAAACATATTTTATTATTTTGTATAAAATTAAATTGAATTCTAAAAATATGAATTATTAACAGGACATATTCGATTAATCTGCAGTAAATTTTTTACTCGAAACAACAAATTTTTAGACTCGGATGTCTACAAAGTTGCATAATATCTGTTTAAAAATTAATAGAGAAATAATTTTGGCGATTAATACGATAAATATTAAATTAATAATGTAACATTGTTTTTTAATTTATTTAATAGACTCTATTAATAATAACTTGCTTTTAATTAATAGACTTAATTTAATTTTAATAAATTGATTAAAATATTTGAAGAGCAATTTAACAATATATTGGATTTAACATTTACAATGCAATATTATTTATTTCTTTCAAAATTTCTCTAATTAATGATTTATTAGTATTTAATTTTTTATTAAACAGCTCTCTTTTATCTCCACAGCTTTCTAACAATTTAATGTAAATAAAATAGCAATAACAAAGAACCAATCTCAAATCTTAAAAGCTATTCCATAGCTATAATCATAATTTACTATTTTTGGAATACGTATAAATTATAAAAGATTGCGAAGCAATCTCTCGAATAAAAATATCTGATATTTATACGTACATGCCATAGTGTTTTCAATAACTGCTTCACAAGCACAATTTCGTATAAGTATTTCCCAATTTTTTTCCCGTATGAAGGGGCAGTTTAGATCCTCTATTAAATTATGAAAGATACTCTTTCCAATTTTTCCCAATGTTTTCACCAATGTTTCAATATTTTACGTATCGAATAAAGGCGATACCGTTAAAAGGCGGACTTAGGTTGCGGTACCTTCGTTTTAGTTACCCATGGCGAAATAAGCGCAAGCCTTTATGCCAAAAACCGTGAACGGCAATCCTGTAAATGCGATTGGCCGTTGATGCCAGCCCGACCTAGATGGTATCTGATTGGAGCTCGTAGCTCTCGGTTTCTGTAGAGTCCTAGATTATCAGAGAAGCGCGACCGGTGTTACGAGTCCTGATTGGACACGCAAATGGCCAATCATAAGATTGATTTATCGCTATTATAAATGGCTGACGAATAAATC